GGCGTTCCACCCCGTGAGCGTGTGCCGGCAGTCCACCCCGTGAGCGTGTGCTGGCGGTCCACCCCGTGAGCACACATGGGCAGTCCTCCCTGCCCCTTGAACAGGGCCCGGAGGCCGTCAGGGCAGCAGGGAGGGCTCAGACCCGGGTCGGCCGGGCTCTCCCCGTCGCACTGCTCGTACCTCGACCATTTCCCACTCAGGATTTTTCCAGTTTAGTGACCTGTTCTAGAAACTGCCTTCTGGTCTGTGCTTACATACCCCACTTCTAGTAGTTTCCTTGCGGAGAGCCGCGGCACAGGCAGTGGTGTGTCTGCGGAGCTTGTAGAATTACACAGGTGGTTGTATTTTAGTTCCGTGGCTTGTTCTCTGTCACACCGAGCCTTTTAGAACTAAATGTATTTTTTTCCACATTAGAGAAGTCAACGCATGCTATTTACCGGGAAGCTGGACTAGAGGCAAGCCTACAGATAAGGTAGAACATGAGCGTGTCCACCAGGGACCACCGGAGTCCTATGACCTCTATTTCTCCAGGGAAACCCAAAGGAAATGCAAGGGCAGACTCGTGTGCTGACTGTCCACGCGGACACGGTTCAGGACAGCGGTTCGTCAGCGTGCCTGGGTCTCGGAGCAGGTGTCTTAGCAGGGGGAGAACTGAAGTTTTAGACCTCAGGGAACTTATATTTTCATACTGATTTGTTCTTGCCTGAAAGCTTGATAGAAAGGACGGGAGAGACTGAGCAGGCGCCGCCTGGGCCCTGGCGGTGCCGCTCCACACACCCGAGACCACAGAATGCCTGGCATGAGAGTCTTTAAAGGGTCAGGAGATCTGGAGATGGTGAGAAAGGACATAGAAAGAAAACTTCTTAAAAATTGTTTTTGTTTAAAAAGGGACGGAAGTCTCTACGTTAATCCAGCGTTTCCTGCCTCTTCCTGGAACCACCGGTCTGTCCGCCATGGGCACAGATAGCCATGGCGGACACAGGGCCGTGAGAATGCCTTCCGGGGGATGCTGGAGCGTTCCCTCGTTCAGACGTCCAGCACTCACATGCTGCGGCCCCGAGTCCTCCAGGGCCTGTTCATTTTGACTGCCCCATCGTAGGTCAGCGTGTAGCCGCACAGGTAGGGGCTGGGGCGGGGTGGGAGGGGGTAGCCGGAGGGAGCAGGGCTCCGGGGGTGGCGCAGGTGCACGGTGGGCAGTGGGAGAGGCCACGCTGTGCCTGGACGCGCAGGAAACCAGAGCGGCTGGGGGAGCGCGGGGGGGGGGGGGTTGGGGG